CTGGAAGGGACTCTCTCAAGTCAATCTCTTTCAAATCTTTGTAGTCATCCAACCCAACAGTGAGGCAGTTCAACCCCACTTAGCCAAATTTCATTGATGATACTGCCTGGCACATCACTGTCAGAGCCTGAGGGAATCCAAACCAAACCCCAGCCACAAAGGGAAGTTAGCAATACAGGCAGCCCCTTGCTTTCCATCCCTTAAAGGCATGGGGCAATGAAGGATGCCCGTGCTCAGAGCTGTGGTTCTAAAATGGGCAGCTGGAAAGTCAATGCCAATGTTTAATTAAATCACTCCATTCTCTTTTTAGAGGCTGCCACTGAACATTGAACAACCACTGAAATTGTACTGAAGCTGTGATAAACTTTTGCACTGGAAGATAATTGGGCAGACTTGGTCAGGTCTCAGTGAACGAGAAATGCCGGTCATCTTGGAATCACAACTGTAATTTACCCTGCATTGCGGAACGATGATTAAGGCTCTTTTTCTTTGTCAGGTTTCTCCCATGCTCTGGTGACCCGAAAAGGGTGTAGACGCCGTGGGGGTGAATGTCACTTTTGGCGGTGTCCCACCAATGCTAGATACCTTGACAAATGCTATATTGGCCATTGCTGTCAAAGGTAAGCTCAGCGTTCCATAAGGGAGACCCTGCAGTGTGAGCAGAACTGCTCAGTACTCTCTTTTCAGTTAGGAGCTGACGAATCCTTCCGTCCTTAAAGCAGATCAGCTCTTAGCCCTTTATTTTCCCCTTTTTGCAAACCAGGGGAGGTAATTTTAAAAATCTTGGTGATGACGATGTTAACATTGTTCAGAATGAATGTGAATGTTTTAAGCATGAAGGTTCTTCTGTAAAGTTCATTTGGCCACCTTGCAGATCTGCAGCCGGTCTTATTCCTGTTCTGTTTGTTGCTGACTGTATGTGCCGTAAGTTATAGAGGCTGTTCAGCTGGTCAAATTAATGCTGCAGCAGGAACAGGTCATAGAGAAACAATTGGGAGGGTGGGAGTCTTTCCAGCCTACTAAAATACCAGATTGAGGGCAAGAGATGTGATACTGGCAGCAACTTGGGCCTGCAGAGTGGGAGCCAGGGACCTAGGCTGGAGTGGCCATGCTACCAACTGCAGTGCTGATCTCTTGGCCAATTCACTGAGCATGCCCAGAGATCCATGTTCTCACTAAGCAGCGCTGCTAGCATTGAACTGCTGCATAACAGAGTCAGACTTCAAGTAGGATTGGAGTTTCCTGTATTTTTTGCAGAGTTAATTTTCTATCCCCTAAGTAAGTCTGTCTCATTTTAGCTTCAGCTGTAGACAAGGTGTGTTCGATAGAACAAGTGTTTACATGGGTGTGAATTGTGCTTTTCTATAGTGTGGTCTGTATAGGCAGCTAGTTCTTCCATTTGGATACATATAACTATCCACTTAGAAACTCTGTAACACAGGGTTTTCACCGATTTTTGTGAAGCCCCGCTCCTCTCCCAAACATGCTATAAAAACTCCGCCACCAACCTGTGCCACAAGTGCTTTTCTGCATCTTCAATAGATTAAAAGCTGTATTAAATTGATAGTTATACAGTTAAAGACACACACATACAGTATATACTGTAACATAAAAAAGAAAAGGATAATATAGGTACAACAATAGAAAACTGAATATTATTTTTCTTTTACTGACTCAGTGGGAAATTTCTTGCTGGTGATAACCCGCAGGCTCGGAGGCCCTCTGAGGTGAGTCAGGGAGTGGAGGTGGTTTTCTTTCCCCAAGGCCTGCCACCTGGGGCTGAAGTCCTGTTTATTTTGGTGGACCCCCTGAAACCTGCTTGTGGCTCCCGTAGGGGGCCCTGACCCCTTGGTTGAGAACCACGGCTGTAACAGAGCATTGCAGTAGGGACTGTGGATTCCCTGTGCTTGTGTTAACCAAGAACCTCTTCATTCACCATTCAGTGAATGGGTAATTGCTCCCATGCCATTTGATTTGAAATGAAACATCATATTGTCCTTTTTCTGTAGGAAAACATCAAAAAATCTGATTCTCTTTTCTCTGTACAGGAGATTTTCTGACTGATTGTCTAAGCAGGATCTCAGGGAATCGGGCAGACAGCCACTTGCTTCTAAAATCATCAGACCCTGCTTCAATGGAACCCTGAAGTGCTGCTGTTCATTTGGGCTGTAAAGAACCTTGTCAGCTGGAAAAATTTAGAAGGGAGCCCTTTTAGCACCCATATAAGATTTGTTACTCTCCTTTTAATAAAAGCAAGCTGGTGTGAGAGCATCATGCTGAAGTGTGTGTGTGTGCGTTGGTGGGAGGCAAGGGGGCTATTTCTATCATTCTTGTCTTTTTGAAATCCATCTTATTTATCTTTCTAAAATTAAATGTAACCCCCAAGGAGATTACCTAGATTCCTGGAGTTCTGTCTGCTGGCAGCTCAGGAAGGGGGAGCCAAGGCAAACTCAGAGTCTGCCCGGCAACCAATAGGGAGTGATATGCCACTCCCATGGAGTTCAGGAAAGGGGCGAAGCCATTTTGGAGTCAGTCTGGAGCCAGCCAGGGCAAGGGCAGGACTAGCTGTCTCGGGAGCTAGTGCATCCCAGGCTTGCATGCAGGGTTTCCCTTGAGAACAGGCCTCTAGGGACCTGACAGCAGATCCCTCAGCTGGGTTTTTCCTTCCCCGCTGATGATTCCCAATTTGTAGCGTTTGCTGGGAAATTTCCCCAGCCAGGCTGAGTTCACCCTCCAGCTCCCTAGGTGAGACTAGTCACCACATGGTCAGCTCTGCTCTGGCTGCTAGTCCAGGGAAGCTGCCTGCTGAGTGTGTGACTGGAGGCTGGGCTAGGAGGCTACAGTTTGGATGTTACTGTAATTGTATAACCTACACCTTGAGCCCTGCACCCCTTTGTGGGGAGGGGAAATCCTGGGACCGACCCAGCTTGATTCCTGCCTGAGGAGGATCCCTGCCAGCAGACAGTAGCCCCTCTGCAGTGGTTGAGGAGTCCAGCGTCATCTTCAAACCTGGGGATCATTCATGGAGTTTGCGAGTGCACCATCTTTTAGTTAGTTAGTCAGGGAATTTGTTTGGGGGACCCCCTACTCTCTGAACATGTCCTCAAGCCAGGGAGTGAGGGTTTGAGGATTTTATAACCTGCTGCATATTCCACCTGAGGGGGGATTTACCACCTCCTCCCACTTCTGAGTCCCTTGGGCTGTACTGAACCCAGTCAGCCACACTGCTAAACCACTGCAGAGAAGAACTTTGTGGTCATAGGTCATCAAGGGCCCCAGCAAAGTACATGTACCAACGGGACACTAATTTTACATTTGCTACATCAAGTCACGGGTATTGTCAGTAAGGGCACTGGTGACCCTAAAAATAGTGTTTCACCCTGTTATGTTGTATTTGTCTCCTGTTAAAAATATATTCAACACAATAATTATATTAATGTGTTTGTGTTATTTCTTGGAAGTCTCCAACTATCTGGCAAGTAAGTGGGGATTACTCTGTAGTTAGAATTTTCCACCCAAGCTGCCCCGGTGACCCTGCCAGGAAGGAGCGAGGGGGGTGGAGGCACTGCCAAATAATTTAATAGAAAAAAAAAGAAAGAAGATACACCCTGCTGAGTGGGTGGTGGGATCCAAAAGAACCCAGACCTGTCCATCAAAACCTGTAAGCGGATTGGCATTAAAGGAGGTAACCAGGTGGAGAGGGGCACTACATAAACATAAAATAAAATGAAATATCCTAAAACTCCCCAATCATATGTTAATACCACTCCAGGGTATTTATAAACCATGATTCACATATCTCGGTAGATTTCAATGTGCTTTTATGGGTAGATTTTTATTTCTTGCAGTTGTTGCAAAGATTATCTGTTTCTGGTATCACAGGAACTGGGTTCAGTCCCATCTTGACTGTATGATGTGTGGGTAACCCACTCCTGGTGCTCCATTGTACCTAGACCTTCCTTTTGCTCTGAACCCTCATTGTCCACAAGCAGGAGAACAGAGGAAATCAGGCCAAAGTTTAGAAGTGTAGATAGATGATGGATTATGAGTCCATGACCTCTCCCTTTCCCAGCTGTAACACAGTTTATCAGCTTTCATATCCTTGAAGGGTGTATCTACACTGGGAGGTGCAGGTGGCATTTCCAGCTCGGGGAGACATACTCTCACAAGCTCTGATTGAGCTCGTGCACCAAAAATAGAAGTGTAGCCATGGCAGTGCAAGTGGCAGAACAAGCTAGCAACCTGAGTATGATCCCGTCTGAAACCCTATATGCCTCCTTCTGGTGGCTAGCTGAAATTACAGCTCTACCTCCAGTGTAGACGTAGCTTTAGGGACACTTGGCATTAGGAGGAGGTGGGGGTGGGGTTAAGATGGTTGGGCACCTGGGGGTGGTTGAGGCTGTTCGGGTGCAGGCAGAAGTTGGTAGCTGGAGAAGTGGGGGTGAGGGTTTGTCCATTCAGTGAAGACTCTGGAGGGTGCTTTGAGGCTGTGGGCATGTCAAGTGGAACTGATAGAATTGACTTCTTCCATAGGTTACATGTTGGGTGTCTCATGCTGGCTTGAGGGCTTTGGAGCAACATCTATGAATTCGACCCTGTGCCAAACACAATGGGTACATTATCTGATAAGTTTTCCTCTGTGAGCTTGTTCTGTGGGCCTGTCCCAAGGGTGGATGTGGTCAATGACTGATTGTTGTTATGCAGCGCTGGGTTACTTTTTGCTCACATTTTATTTTCAACTATTATTGGTGTCGTCATGCTGAAGAGGCCTCAACCTGGATCAGAGCCCCATCGTGCTGGGCACTGTACATGTACCTAGGAAAAGATGGTCTCTGCTCCCAACGGCTTACAATCAAAATAGACGAGATAGATGAAGTATTATTAAGCCTATTTGACACTGGAAGAGCTGCAGCCCAGAGAGACAAAAAGCCCAGATTTCTCCTTTGGCCCTTTACAAATCTGGCCCAGAGTGACTTGCCCAAAGTCACACCCGGAGTCTGTGGTTGAGCTAGGATCTGAGCCCTGACTTTCTCATTCTCCTCTAGTGACTGATCCATAAACCATCCTTCCTGGGTAGGCGTTTTAACAAAGGGAAGGAGAGTGATCCTGGGAATTACTATCCCAGAAGTCACTTTTACCCTGGTAGATCAAAGGGTAAAAGAAAAGAGTTTCTATGGAGGGGATACTGGAACCATGGACAGGAGCAGGACGTGGGTTTGGAGAGAACAGGACTTGTCAGACATCTGACGGCTTTGTGTGATGGAGTTACCAAATGAGTGGCTGAGCAGCACGTCATTGATGTAACGTGTTTGGATTCCAGCAAATCACTTACTGCAACATCTCGTGAATTCTCACCCTGAAAGGCTAAATCCTGCTCATCTCACTCACGTGATCCCAGGGGCACACTTGGAACAGGCCCACATCGGACAGGCTTTTGGGAGATCAGGCAATTGATTGAAATAGCTGAGATTTCCATTTTGTAAAATTATTCTAGTCTTCTATGGGAAATCATGGGTCTGATTCTGATCTCCCATGTGCCAGTTTTACACCTGTGTAACAAGGATGGCTTCAGTGGTGTCCCTCCTGATTTACAGCAGTCACTGCTGAGACTGAGTGATGAAGAATTCAGAACAATGTACCAAATGTGGTGCTAATGGTTAATTACCCACACTGTTAAAAATTTACACCATGTTTCCAGTCTGAGTTTATTTACTGTCAAGTTCAAGACATTGGAACTTGTCAAACATGTGTCTGCTAGAATGAAGAGCACATTATGATTTTTTTCTTACCCATAAAGGAACTTTAAAACTGCAATTAACTGACCCCTTAACCTTCTTCTTAAGCTAACTAGATTGAGCTCCTTAAGTCTATCACTTTAAGGCACATTTTCCAATTCTTTAATCATTCTTGTGGGTCTTCACTGCACATTCTCCAGTTTATCAACATCATTCCTGAATTGTGGACAACAGAACTAAACAAAGTATTCCGGTATCAATCTCACCAGTGTGCTATACAGAACAATTTCACTTCCCTGCTCCAACACCCTACTCATCTGTCCATATATCTCAGGATCACATGATTACTTTCCACCATAGCATCACACTGGGAGCTCATTTACCATAGCTTCTCTATTGTGATCCCAAATCCTTTTTAGAGTCACTGCTTTCCAGGATACAGTCCCCCATTCTGTAGGTATGGACTGCATTACTTCTTGCTACATGTATAACCTCGCATTTGTCTGTATTAAAATGCATTTTTATTGGGCTCAGCTTACCAAGCAAACCAGATCACTCAGGATCTGTCCTCAACATTATTTACCACTGGACCAAATTGTGTGTCATCCATCAATTTTATCCCACAGTTAAATATATTTCTCTAGTAGATGTTTTTAACATCTTCCTTAGTTACTAGTGCATTGCCTCTTTTGTCATGTGATATGCATACACCAACCTTCTTCTTTCCAGACATAGAAAAGAAAGATGTATTGAACACTTCTGGCTTTTTCTGCATCATTATGAATTTGTTTTTTACTCTTCTGGGAGTAATGGCCCTATACCATTTTTAGACTCTCTTTTCTTCCTGGAGTAATTAAAAAAAACCCCACCTTTGTTATCTTGGCCTTGCCAGCCATGGAGTTTTCTCCGATGGCCTTAGTTTCTTTTACCATATTTCTGCTCTTCATTACTTCTAAACTGTATTGACTACAATCTATTTCCCCAGTTTCCTATATATATATATATATATATATATATATATATATATATATATAGTAGT